CAGGGCCGGCATGGCAGGCCCAGGGGATCAAACCACCAGCCCCTGTGCCTGCTTGCAGGTGCTTTAATCTGAACTATTTGGCCGGCCCAAGTGATTTATTTTTTAATAGTTTCTTTGCTACATTTATGTGTCTTTTCCTGGCAGTTTGTCACATGTCTTTTGAAGGACATAGCTGTTAAGTTACTTGAAAGAAAATTTTTTTTGTATTTAAAACATCTAGTGTTAGCCTTTTCAGTTTCACTAGTTATGAGTAATTTTGACAAAGAATGAAAATGTCAGATGATGACTTTCACAGTGGTACTGAAAATTTTAGCAGAAAGAACTTTGTTAACCAGCTAATAACTTTACTTTAATGAACCATAACATAGTTTTAAATCTCAAACACTTAAAAAGTCAGAAGATTTTTCCTAGCTTTTCTCCTTACCTTCTCTTCATTGTTTAATCCTTAAGTTCTCAATTTCCGTTTAGTTGTGTTATATCTTTCAATTTTTATTTATTCTTTTGAGTTCTTACACTAGGGAGACTATGCAATATTTACACATGTGGGTCTGGTTTATTTCACTTATGAGTATATCTTCAAGCAGCATCCACTTACATATAAAGGCTTCGAGTTTATCATTCTTAATAGCTGAGTAATACTCCATTGTACAGAAATACCTCATCTTTTTCATCCATTCCTCAGATGATGGGCATTTTGGTTGCTTCCAAGATTTGGCTAGGACCCTTTTGTAGTGGGGGGGAAATATACAGCTACTTTCTCTTAGTTCAATGAGAAGAAAGTTTTGAACTAATAGTGTTTAGACAAGATATTATGTCTCCATCTTGTACTATGAATAACTACTACAAAGACAACAATGTACAATATATTAATTTTTATAACTGCCCTACTAACCTGTTTTGAAACTGTCTCATTGTTATTTCTTTCTCCACAAAATTAATGTAAAAAAGATATTTCCTGAAGATTTGCCTATGTAAATGCAAAATATTTTTACAAATTCAGATTTTTTTCTCCATATTTATTATGTTTCTTATACATGAAATCATCAGACTGCTTTGAATTTATGTCTAGGAATAATTTAAGGATTCAGTATTTTGTCTTGACTTGGCTGTGTAAGAGAAGAGAGAAGATATGATACTTCTGAATTCCTAGTTAAATGTATTTGTAAGTGCAGTTCTCAATTTACCTTTGCATTTCATATGACAGCAATCCATATTTATAGTGTTTGAAGTCTGGCTTTTTATATTATTGAATATTAAAAATAAAAAAAAAGGTTTGCATACCTGGGTCCTCTTATATGAGAAAACCAAAATATAAATATTTTTTTAAAAAGATAATAGAAAATAAATCTTTGCAAATGGTAAGGGGACAAAGGGGAAGGGAGAGAAAGGGAAAGTAAAATAATTGATATTTTTTTATTTTTAAGCACCAGTAGTTTGTGTGTTTCATACTTCTCACTAGCATCAAGTTTAAATTTTTCTCCATATTTATATTTCTTATTATTGTGCATAATAATAGCATTGTTTCTCTGGCATGGATCACTTTGACAATTTGGGGGAATAAGTGGCTTTTTTCTGAAATTAATAAATGTAATGCTTATTCCTATAAATGAAGAGCTTTTGATTTTACATTTTTAAACATAAAAATCTGAAGAGCGTTACACTTTTCTGCTTGAACAAATTAAATGTTGAGGGCCTGGCATGACTTTGGGCCAGTTATCACTTACTACTTTGCATCTTAATCACATGTGTTCTAGTCTGCATTTTGCATCTGACATTGTACATCTTTAAGGACTGCAAGCTTTCTTACTTGCACCTGTAATAAAATTTGTTAATAAGATGGTATTCATTGTGATTATGAGATAGTAGTGAATAGTTTGTATGTATCCAAGACTAGGTTTTGTAATCAATCATCTGTGATCATCTGTAATCATGATGATCATTGTGTGTAGAAAAAAACATACTTTTGCAGAGAATTTTAGTATATGAGGTTTGTCTCTCAGTAAGCAGTATCACAGTGTACATGGTTTAATATTGCTGGTGGACTTTTGCCAATGTTTTGTTTCTTTGTTCCTGCTATTAAGTGTTCATTTATATCTAACCTGATATCTCTTTTCACCAAAGTTTTATAATGCATGCATTTGATACATAT